ACCACACCAGCAGAGGACTGGGGGTCAGGCTCGTGTCTATACCATTGCTCACGACGAGGCGGCCAACAATGCAGGTACTATGTCTGGCATGATTTCTTTATCCAATGTGCCTATATTTGCATTATGCGACACTGGAGCTACTCATTCCTTTATCCCCTCTCGGTGCTTGGAGGCCTTTTCTATTGATAATGTGTGCAACTGTGACCCTCTCGAGGTTAGTCTAGCCTCGGGAAAGATTATTATCTCTGATTCTTTGATTCGTGGTCTTTAAGTTAGTATTGGTGGGCGTGTTTTGGAGGCCGATTGCTATGTTATTGAAATGCGAGACTTCGATGTGATCTTGGGCATGGACTGGCTAACTCGCTATCGAGCTGACATCCGGTGCCAGGAGTGCGAAGTCACTCTATTTCCCACTTCCGATCAGCCTGTTATTTTCTATGGGTTGAAGTCGAGGATTGTGCCTCGAGCCATCTCTTCAATGCAAGCTAGGAAGAGCCTTTCTAAGGGTAGCTGTCAGGGTTATCTGGTTTCTATGGTATCCGAGGACGATTCTGAGAGGTCCCCGGAGAGAGTCTCTATTGTCTGCGAGTATCTCGATGTCTTTCCTGATGAATTGCCCGGAGGACCGCCCGACCGCCAAGTGGAGTTTACCATTGATCTAGTACCAGGAGCCGACCCTGTTTCTAAGGCCTCTTATCGTATGGCGCCGAAGGAACTTCAAGAGCTCAAGGCCCAGATCCAGGAGTTGCTCAATCTTGGTTTCATTCGTCCGAGTGTTTTATCGTGGGGAGCACCCGTCCTATTCGTGAAGAAGAAAGACGAATCGATGCGCATGTGTATTGACTATCGGGAATTGAATGCCCTTACGGTCAAGAACAAGTATCCCCTTCCTCGCATTGAGGATCTCTTCGACCAGTTGAGAGGAGCCAGTATATTTTCGAAGATCGACTTGCGTTCGGGCTATTATCAGCTGAAAATCTGGGAGTCGGATATTTCTAAGACTGCCTTCCGTACCCGTTATGGCCACTATGTCGTAGTCATGCCGTTCGGACTCAGCAATGCCTCGGCCGTTTTTATACCTTATGAATAGGTTCTTTCATCCCTTCTTGTACCAGTTTGTTATCGTGTCCATCGACGACATCTTAGTTTACTCTCGGAGCATCGACCAGCACAAGAAACATCTGAGAATTGTGCTGGAGACTCTTCGCCATGAGAAGCTGTATGCTAAGTTCTCAAAGTGCGAGTTTTGGCTGGATCCTGTGGCATTCCTTGGCCACATTGTGACAGCGAGAGGCATTGAGGTGGATCCCAGCAAGATCGAGGCAGTGAGCAAGTGGGATACGCCAAGAAGTGCCGCTGATGTTCGTAGTTTTCTGGGGTTAGCAGGATACTACCGGAGGTTTATCGAGGGTTTCTCGAAGATAGCACAACCACTAACCCACCTTACGAAGAAGGCCGTGAGGTTCGATTGGAGTCCTAGGTGTGAGGAGAGTTTCCAGGAGTTGAAGAGGAGACTCACTACCGCGCCCGTTCTATCCATTCCCGACCCTACTTTGGAGTTCACCATCTATAGTGATGCTTCGAAGATGGGTTTGGGATGTGTCCTTATGCAGCAGGGAAGGGTCGTAGACTATGCTTCGAGGCAGCTGAAGCCTCACGAGCAGAACTACCCCACTCACGATCTTGAGTTAGCTGCAGTCATTCACGCCTTGAAGATTTGGCGACACTACCTCTATGGAGGCAAGTGTGAGATTTTTACCGACCACAAGAGCCTAAAGTACATTTTCACTCAGAAGGAGCTGAATATGCGGCAGCGTAGGTGGTTGGAACTGGTCAAGGACTACGATTGCACGATTAGCTACCATCCGGGGAAAGCTAACGTAGTAGCCGATGCCCTTAGTCGGAGGTGTTATGGCCAGTTGTCCTGTCTCTTTACCAAACAAGATGTCCTCATTCGAGAGTTCGAGCGGCTACAGCTAGAGGCAGTGGAGGCACCTTCGACAGCCAGGGGTATGTTGACCTCTTTGGTTGTGGGACCGACTCTTCGTGAGAGGATAGTCGCCGAGCAACCGAATGATCGTTTCCTTTGCCGGATGAAGGAGTTGTCGGAAGCCGGTAGAGTTTGAGGATTCACAGTCGCACCTGATGGGGCCTTGGTCTTCGAGGGTAGACTTTGTGTTCCGAAGGTGTGGAAAATACGAAGGGAGATTTTGAGAGAGGCCCATAGTGCCTCGTACACCGTCCATCCTGGTAGTTCGAAAATGTATCAGGACTTGAGGAAGTCTTTCTGGTGGCGAGGTATGAAGTGGCAAGTGGCAAGGTTCGTGAATGGGTGTCTGGTATGTCACCAAGTGAAGGCTGAGCATCAGAAACCGAGAGGAAAGTTGCAGCCACTTGAGGTTCCCTTGTGGAAGTGGGAGTGCATCACCATGGATTTCTTAGTGGGATTGCCGGGGTCGAGGACCGGGCATGATTCTATTTGGGTGATTGTGGATTGCCTTACGAAGTCTGCCCACTTTCTGCCAGTCCGAACGACTATGAAGGCTAGTCAGTATGCCGAGTTGTTCGTGGATGAGATTGTAAAGATTCATGGAGTTCCCGTAGAGATAGTGTCTGATCGAGACGTGAAGTTCACTTGCCAGTTCTGGAAGACCCTGCACCGAGCCATGGGGACGAGACTGGAGTTCAGTACAGCTTTTCATCCTCAGACAGACGGTCAGTCGGAGCGGACGATCCAGTACTTGGAAGACATATTGAGGGCTGTGGTCTTGGACCGTAGCCTAACCTGGGAGAGTGCCTTGCCTTTGGTCGAGCTGACTTACAACAATAGCTACCACTCCACGATCAAGATGGTCCCATTCGAGGCTTTGTGTGGACGTAAGGTCCGAACACCCTTGTACTGGGATGAGGTCGGGGAGAGGACGATCATGGGTCCGGAGTTCATTCTTAGAGCTGCAGAGACAGTTGAGGCTATTCGGAAGCATATCCGGTCAGCCCAAGAGAGGCAGAAAGTCTATGCCGACCAGAAGAGGGATGAGCACGAGTATTCCGTCGGAGATCACGTCTTCCTGAAGGTCTCGCCCATGAAGGGTGTGATTCGCTTCGGGAAGAAAGGGAAGCTTAAACCGCGTTATATTGGGCCCTTCGAGATCCTTGCCCGAGTTGGGAACTTGGCTTATCGGCTGGCTTTACCACCTAGCTTGTCGGGCGTACATGACGTGTTTCACGTCTCGATGTCGCGGAGATACGTGCATGATCCCGGTCACGTGGGGGACTTCGGCGAACTGCAGGTCGAGCGAGACCTTACCTACGAGGAGGTACCGGTAGTATTTTGGACCAGAAGGTCCACCAGTTGAGGAACCGGGCCGTGAGTTTGGTGAAGGTGCTTTGGAGCCGACATGACGAGTCGGAAGCGACTTGGGAAAAGGAGGCCGAACTTCGGAGGCGATATCCGAACTTTGAGTTTTGAGTCCCCTTTGTACTTTATTCCTTTCTAGTTTATTTTTATTTTGAATTCCGAGGACGGAATTCTTTGTAAGGTGGATAGACTGTAATACCCCATTTGATTGTGGATTATTGGTGTTATTATTTATTTTCTTTATTGTTATTTGTGCTCCTTTTATCATTATTATTATTAATACTATCATATTATTGGAATGTCTATATACATATTTATTTGTCAAAGTGTAATTATTTGTCAGTGCAGATTTTTATTATTAATATTATTATTTTAAAATATTATGTGTATTATAAATATAGATATTTCGGATTATTATATTTGTCGTCAAGAGAATTGTTCGATGTTAGTCCTCGGATATGGATCTTGTCCCAATTGAAATTTTATTCCAATACCTTTTACTATGTTATTTAAATGGACCAAATGTCTAATATTGTTTGTAGCCCAAATTGGTAAGTGGCCCATTGGCAATAAATCTTTTTTTTTTTGGCCCATAAGATCACGATCTTGCAGAGCCTTTTTCAGTTCACTTCCTTTGTGATGGTAGACCGAGTGTTCTTCAATCTCAGCAAGATCAAAATTTTGTTCCGATACTTTGGTGAAATCCCTTGCACGTTCTCCCCTTTTCACTCGCCGACCTCCTTCTCATCTATTATATCTCGGTCATCTCACATCTCTCGCTCTAGTATAAGTTGGAATTTTCCTTTTCCAAACCTGCAACAGCAAATCATCCCTCACCATAAATTCCGGTGAGAGACCTGCCATCATCGTTGTCCCGAGTAGCGTCCTTCCATCGCCGACGCCCTCCGCAGCGGTTGACCCTTGTCGTCGATTCCAGAGCAGAAGCCAATCGTGAGCCTGCGATCCGGCGGACCTCCATTGTTTCCGGTGAAAGCTCCGTTCGCGTGCCTCGACGAGACCTCCTGTTCGCCGTCGGCGTCCACACAGCGGAGC